CACACACACACAGAGAGAGAGAGAGAGAGAGAGAGAGAGAGAGAGAGAGAGAGAGAGAGAGAGAGAGAGAGAGAGAGAGAGAGAGAGATGGGGCAAATGTCATTCATTTGGCTTGATGGATTTGTGTCCCCCCAGCCATTCACGGTGTATCCTTCTCGATGGATTTGTGCTCCCCCTGCCATCAACACCTCTACCACCACCACCCGCACACTGTGCCATCACCCCCACCAGCATTTGCAAGACTTCATTTCCGTCCTGCATGGCACTCCCAACAGCAGCGATCATAGTCGCACCCTCCGTGCTTGCCCATGCCTGCAGCTTTGTCAAGCACTTCACAATACGCATGTGTCGAGTTTTGCACTGCTTGGACGTGCTAGATTCTCATCCCGTGATTCCCTGTCACTATCCTCAGAGTCCTGCATGTCTTGCATACATTCTCCAAATAATCCATCCCGCCCCGTGACATCTCTCAGGCGGATGTGTCGCTCTCCCCACCCTGCAGGCTTGCCGACAACATGTTGTCTCAAGTAACCGAGGACTGTGCAAGGTACCACTCCATTGGTCCCACAGCCGCTGTTCGAACGTCACCCATATGCCCTCCTTTCTCTCTCCCCCCTCACTTCTCAATACAATGAATGGTTTACCGGATGGCCCTCATTTGTCACTGATGCCCTTAATGTTTGGTGTGAAATTGGACCACTTCTTTCTATATTCCTCCGCCATTTTATCCCACCCGTCCTCCGCCATCTGTTTTGAAACCCACTCATTCCTCTGTGACCTGCGTAGATGGCTCTGCCACCCAGAAGCATTCGTCATAGATGCATCACCCTCCATCATGCATCTCTTGAGAGAAATTCACTAGTTGAACACCCATGGCTTGCTCCTGCTGTTCCTTGCACCGGCTGTGGGTGTCTCCTCACTAATGCCAGTCGCATGCGCACCTGCAGCAAAAGGAGACGTAATGGTTTATGACTCCTGAAGGTTGTGGCCTGCTGGTCGGTCGTCACCGACGCTGGCTTGTCCCAGTGTCTGTGACGGCAGGGGACTAGTTTCCGATGCAGGTATGCAGCACACTGGCTCCGTAGTGCCAGGCAAAGGGGACGAAGCAAACACACTTGATGCGCGCCGCATCCCATGAAGGGGCTGTGAATTCGTGCCTGCAAAAACTAACTGCTGTGCCCAACCCTCTCTGCTGCCATCTCCCTCATTCGCTCCAACAACGCAGGTGCAGGATGGTAGGATACTCAATGCCACTGCAGGCTGCAGCAGAACTGGGACGGATGTTGCTGTTGCGTCTTGTTTGCCGCTGTGCCCATCGTGGAGTACACTGCATACAACCCCCCTGTACCTGTCAAAGGCATCATGAAGGAGAAAGGGGGGACATGCTAGCGGATGCGATCCAAGCTTGGGTCATGGGACTGTTGACCCAAGCAGGAAACCGGCCAACGGACATGGGGTACAACGCCGGATGCCGGACACCATCCATCTCCGGACTCAAAGAAGATGAACTCGTGACAACTGTGGCTGGAAGCCGCCCAACTTGCTGCTGTGAAATGTCCACATGCTGGTTGCTCCCTCCATGCCCACTGTTCAGATCCTGCGTCCACGGCCGTCCTTCCATTATCACAAGCCGGCTGTGAATGCACACAGAGCTGCTTCTCTCACGGGTTTCCCCGAAGGAGCAGAAAACAGATGGCAAGAAGTAGAGCAATGAGACCAACGGCAATGGCAACGACAATTTTGATTCCGACACCCACAATGAAACAGAGAATGCCGATCCAAATGCTGCACACTGGAGGATCCACACCCTCCCGCTTCGATCCTATCACCAACACTGGTAGGGCACATTTCCTGCAACAGCACTGGCAGCGGGACCAGCAGCCTATCAAAACTTCTTGCTCTGACTTCTCACCACCTTAAACTACCACCAACCCCGGGCCTCTTTTGCCGAGGTGGAGAAGAACTGCACGCGAAGTTTTGTCAAAGCGCCAGTGCAACTTTTTTTCTTTCGTTTTGGCTGGTGCTGCCAGCCATTTGGGTCCCGCAGCACCTAGCCTCCAAAGAATGCGGTATAGGTTATAATACCGTTATATTCACGACTTTGCCTTCACCTCTGAAAGGTCCTGGTGGTTGAATGGCTGCTTACCACCAATGCCGAACCAGGAGATTGTTGCCACCATATTGTCTTGTCAATTTCTGCTTCAGGGTGAACTGGATGGGCAGATTGGACGATCACATGAACTGACGGCCATTGGGAGGGGGTGGTGACGCTATTCGAACACACAGGATCACAGGAAGCATGCAATGATGGTGGGGAAGCACATGGTCGACAGGAACTTCCCACACAGGGCACTCTTCGCACTTCCAGGGCAGACAAATGACAAGGTGACATCTACGCAGATAACAAAGGCCGTGAAGAACGACATCCTGATGGGCGAGTGCAGAAACTGCCACCTTGCAGTTAGGGTGCGGGGAAGACGTCCCCCACATGCACCTACGAGCCCAAACCCGTAGAAACCACGCATGGCGATAGCCACAACACAGATGTCTCTCACCTTCAGCCCAACCGCACCAGTGCACATGTGCCTTACATGGTCTGGCGTCGTGCGCACAAGTGATGGCGGAGGTAATTATCAAAAAGCAATTTATGCTACCCCATTGGCAATGGTGCGCATTTCCCCTGCACACATGCCCATGAACAACGTTCTGCTCTAGGGATCCGGGTGAACTGAATTTTGAAATTGGGCGCCAGCAGTCCCGCGCTAAGTTCCTCCCTCCTGGACAGTATTCCGCCCAACAGTAACTGTGTGACAAAGCCGCATGTCTGGCCCTCCGCGGTTGGACATGTGCGAAGGACCTAGAATGGTCCGTTTCAAACTTGGAGTCAGTCTCGTCGTTGCCAATCGAAGGCCTCTCCAAAACCTACCCTCTCGTTTCAGCAGTTCTTTATGGAAAAGTGGCATGCCACGGAGGATCCGCCGGGTCGCAGACGGAATGAAAATGGCCCGGGAAAGGTTTCCAGACACTTCCTGCGGCCCGTGGGATCCAAAAAATAGGTTGGCGGACATCCAGGCCACTTTCCACTAAGATCATATGTGCTTTGAGGCTGACATTTACATAATGAGTATACATACTATACAATAACCACCAGTGCATTTCCCATTTTTTGAAGACGCGGCTGAGCATGCATCGCGTTCTTTGGGGGTCAGCCTACCGCGACATAATGGCTGGTGACGCCAGCCGAAAGAAGGCCTGCGCCAGTTTGTTTTTTGGCACGCACGGCGTTTCCAGGATCAGCAAGGGAAGGGTCAAAAGTGCTGGCGGGATCCGATAAATAGATTGGTGGGCATCCAGGCCACTTTCTACCAAGCTGTGGGGTCTGGGCGTAATCCACAGGATGTTGAGGATCA